CTAAAACACAGCCAAGACCAGTTACTTTGTACAGACCAAAGGTCACCTTTATGTTATTTGATATGATAACATGAGTGCACATAAGCCACGTCATTATAACTTCTGTATTGTTAGTCAGACACTGGTGAAAGGTCAATATAATAAAAATAATAAATATATATAAATGTACAATGTTATGAGATTTAAGCTATTTAGTCTAAACATTTATGTTTTCGTGTTACAATGTGTTCATTCTATAATGAAAGAGGCATAATGTATGTTTATTTCCTAATTTTTTATGGTGGTTGCGAGATTGGTCAGATCTACCAAACCCGTACAGAGAATAATTACTCAAAATAACAGATAAAATATAAAGCTTTTTCTTAAGAAATGTTTGATAACTATCCAGACATTATAAAGATTTTGCATGTGAAATTTCAAAATTTTGATGCATAAAAGTATTTTTTATCTTAAAATGAAAATTACTTTGCGTGATAGATAGGTAGGATGTGAAAACAAAAAGGCATGAAAGAAACATTGCCTTACAAACCTTAAGACTTAATGAAAAATAATATATTTTGCATATGAAAGCATTGTAATGTTTACTGATAATCTGCCAAATTTCATTAACATTCGCTAACTAATTTAAAAGTTATAGCATGAAAACTATAACAAGCATAAAATAGTTACGAGGTCGGTCCCAAACTGAGCCTGGGCTGAAAGAGTTAAACAACTGACAAGCAAATTCTAGTTCTAGTCTTCATATGTTCCCCACAACAAACAGGAATGTAGAAATTTTAGAAACAACTTCTTGTCCAAAGGATAAAATCCTAGAAAAAGCTACTTGTTCTTCTTATAAATCTACATGCCTCCTCCCCATCCCACAAAACAGAACATGACTTTTAATAACATTGAACATTAACATAAAAAATTTCTGGAATTTACACACTTAAAACGTAAGGAAAAATGTAGTAATGCATCAATTGTTTTAATAATTTCTATAAATTTAAATCTATATTTAATTATCACAATATCTACATTAAAACCATTATTTTGCAGACACGGCATAAAGGTCATGTATGAAGAGGCAGCATTTTTTTTAAAGGTTAGCAAAATTAAGATGCGTAAACATTTAAATAAAAAAATACCCAATGCATGACAATGTTTTTGCAGTATTTTCTTCTTTCTTTTCCAACTTTTAGATATTTTTACAGTGAAAACAAATATACTGGATATGTGCAAGTATTAATAATTCTACTTTAATTATACATACATAAAGAATTTAGATGCAAAACATTGTATCTTGTGATACATGGGCATATAATGTTTCATACTCCCTGTTAGTTACTATTTAAAAAATATTAACATTTTTGTGTATTTCAGGTTTTGTTCTTACTACAGAAGTCAGTTAGGGGGACAACTAAGTCCTTTCTCACTATAGTTAAGCATGGAACTGGATGTATGACCAAGTTATCCCATGTTTTCCATTAGGAATGACTGCTTTAGTATGAAAGATGCTATAGATATAGCCACTGACCTGAGTCATGAGATGTGATAGCCCAAGGGTGTAACACCCACTGTTGACAATAGGAGAGATCATCACATGGATAGCACTTGCACATATGGATAGATTGAGTTATTAATAGATTGCTATACTGATATATGGATTTTAGCAGCTTGAGCTTTAAACACAAGTTCACTGTTTTATAAATTTGATTCATGCTAACTTAAAAGTTCAGATAGTATTCACCACTTTCTTTGTGCCTGACTAACATTTTTAAGTTTTGCACTAGTAAGCTACTGAAAGGGTATAAATAAAGTTCTTTCTTTTTCTTTCCAGTCAAACATGTCAAAACTTCTTCAAGTGTTAAACTTCACTTTGATTGTAAATAATAAAGATTGAGATTGGCTACAAATTTGTTGTGAGGTAGAAAATTCTATTTTAATTTTGTTATGGTTTTGTTTACCATTCATTTACTGTTTCTTCTATTATTTAGTTTTGCTATGAAACTTTTGTCACATTAAAGCTGATCAAAATAATTTTAAGTTTGTATGTATTATGAGACTGACACCAGATTCCCCTAGCAGTAATGTACAGATATTATTAAGGTTATTATTAAGATTATGTATATTTATGGTTACATGAGATGTAATATTGTGGTCTAGTGACTGAATAAAAGCCCTGTCATGAGCTTCAGCAAGTTAGCTCATGAGAGACAGCTGAAAGGTATTATTGTTGATTATTACTCGATGATGTAGTTATGTAAATACAGAATATTATTTTGGAATTCGTTTTCTTTTTTATTTGTCTGGTTCTTTTTCTGATTCCTTTACTGATTGAAAAAATTATTAACCCTGATATTTACATTATATTGTTCTTTAATGTTAGTAGCAAGTCCTGGCCAGGGCACATATTTATAAATTTTGTAGTGTAATTGTTTGAAAGTTTCATTTTTGACATCTGTGGTTGTCAAAGTTCAATCAATTAGTTTTTTTCTGTTTCAACCCTGGTTGTAGTAGCTGTTTGTTTACATATTGGTCAATTACATTGGTGCCCAAACAGGAATCCTTTTATAAAAAGTATTTGAATTTTGACTTCTGAATGGACTATTTTTCAGTTCAGTATTGAGTGATTCATTCAGCAATAATTTAGTTAACTTAAAGCAGATAATAACCTTTATTATGAAGTTTAACAAAGCTGATGTGGCAAGATTGAAGCAGTATGTAGCAGTATAGATGGAACTGGTGCAAATGCTAACACACATGATGACTGACCTACTCTTAAGAGAAAGTAAGCCCCCCCCCCTCCACCTCAAAGAGTTCATTCTACTATTAGCCCAGCAGAAACTTCCTGGATATATGTCACAGCAATCAACCCAACACCCCTGCCTGTTAAAAAGTTCAACAGTAAGTCAGATTTTAATGTCTTAGAGTTTCTTAAAAGTTTCGAAAGACGTTTTTATATGCATGAAGTACCAGAGAATAAATGGATAGAAACTGCAGCTTCTTATCTGAGGGAAAGGCCACTAGAATGGTGGGAGGTTTTTGAGTACTAGGAGAATTTAAAGAAACCTTGAGGAATTTGTACCCAATGTTGTTAGATAATACTGAATTGGCTAAAGAACTCTTTAGTAGGAAGCACCACATTAATACAGGGTAGTCAACTGAAACCCTTTATATAGAAAAACTTAAAAACATATATGGAACCCCGAAGCTAAAGAAAGAGAAATTGTGAAGTGTATAATATCACAATTACATGTTTCTTTACAAGAATACTTGGAATGCCATTTTGTTGTATCTGTTGCTGATGTGCTAAAATTTACAAAATAATATGAGCATCAGCAGAAGAATAGACATGATACTGTTAATATGGAGTTGAGTAACATAAATGAATGTTGTAGTAGACCTGTACGATTTGTAATCAAATATGGCATTTATCTATGCATTGTCCTAAGAAAGCAAAATATGGAAATGGAACAAAGAGGAGAAAGACAGCAGTTGGGAAATGAGAGAAGGGTTCAAAGGAGGAGGTTTTAAATCCATTAATCATTTAACTGCAACAGATCTGGCACACCTAACACTAAAAATTAAGGCACCTTTACCCCAAATCTACACATTTCCTATAATGCTTCCTTGACTTCAGCTCCTAATCTACTATTTTTCTACTAATAATACAATCTTCCTCTAGTGTATCCTAAAGTGAACATATCCTACAGACAACAAGAAACCATTTGATCCTTCAAGACTGTCTTTCCACACCCAACCCTGGAAAAAGGAAAATTTAAACCCACCCTTTACTTTTCAGAAATCAGAGAGTCAATCTTAGACAAGCTTTTCAAGTGTGCTGTGCAGATGTTTGCTCAATAACATAGCCTAATGATGTCCAAAACACTGTTTCACATTTTAATGTAAGAATACATAAATTTGCTTTTCAATTATATTTTGTACTTACCTGCTACAAGAACAAGAGCAACATACACTCCTATGTAAATCCAAAATTTTTCATCTTTGTATGACAGAGGGGGCTCTTCTTGTACATAAATATTGCCACTACAATTAAGTTTATCAAGTCCATCCAAAAAACACTCTATTTTTGCCATTTAGGATATTCTGAAACCTGAAAAACATTAAATATTTGTATTCAATTTCTTAATGGGAAAACTACAAAACATTTTTTTTTTTTATTAAGCGTGTAAAATTTTTATTTTTTTGTCAAAGATGTAACAAAAATGTAACATATAACTTAAGATTTTGCTTTTATTCAACAAATGAACTATCATTTTGATGATATCGGCAGCTCAGTTTTGTTGGAAATCATGTATACCATGTTTTCATTTAAGTTCTTCATAAATATAAGTTCATATATTTTACAACTTTTAACATTTAGTCATTACAATTTTACAGCACAGCATTTAGAATACCCCATGTATAAATTGATAAAGATATCATGGTTTCCATTCATGCTGTCATTAACTAAAATGTAGACAAAACCAATGTAATAATTTTGCATTAATGTAGATAAATTAGTTACTATGTAGGTCTCTTAGGGTTTGTGAATTAAAATGTTCTGTATATTTGTGTATATAGTTTTGACTTGAGATTTAGTGATATGCATTTAAATGTTTGTATGTGCTAGACTTCTACAGTTCAAGATTTTTTAGAAACTTGTGTGGTTCACAAGAAATCTACCTAGCTTTTCTAGCAACAGTACATACAATGTTAAAAATAACTTATTGTCGATTGAGCAAAGTATAATGGCAAAACTTGCTATGTCAGGCTTGAAGCAATGTGGTATATAAAAATGATTAAGTTACATATTGTAATGATCTACATCCACCTGCTCTGAAGTTATTATGACACACCTTCATAAGGTTCTGATAGAAACAGGCCTAGGTACTGCAGCACATTACATCCAAACTACTGCATATATATTACATACTTCCCACTAATTACAATACCAACTTCTGTCTACATTTGTAAATCTTTTTACTTTTAACACAATGACATTATCATTTTCAAACAAAATTTTAATTCTGTTGATAATTTTCATATAAAACTATCAATAACAGTTGAGAAAATTCCATTAATAGAAGAGTTAACTAAACCTCAGCAAGATGTTCTAATGGTTCTGCATATGCTTGAGCAGTGTTAACAATTTTGGTTATCCACAAAACTTCTGTAAGATAGCTACATGGTTAGTGTGCATGCATTTCAAAACATTTGGTGTTAAAATTTTAAACCTATACACTTGTATCTTTGTCTTAACTAAGAACTTGTAAAGTTATGCTAAGAAATTATGGGAGTTAATTATGCAAGGTAGAGACAATCAAGATTATTTATGGTCATGCAAATCAAAGATACACATTCACTAAAACAATTGCATTGTGGAAACTAGTAGTGCTTAATAACCTAATATCATAACAATATGAACTAATAAGAAAAAAGAAATGGGAAAATAACAATGGTTTAGGTGAGCCAGGAGAGGCCTTGTTCAATGACAAAAGGTATATATATATATATAATTATTGTCTGACACATTCACTGTAATTCATCCAAAATGTGATGCTAATTAAAATATAATTTTGAAATAACTGCTTTTCTCTCTTATCCCACTTTTTAACATCAGCTCACCAGTGCTGGGTTTCTTGTTTAGTTCAGGTGCCAAGTTCTTTATGGCTAATGTTTCTTTTAATCTTAGCCACTGCTCATTTTCAGCTTTTCCAATAATTTGGAGCTGTTCATTCACATGTTTTAAATTACCTTGTGTTAGTTATTTAAATATTAGATTTAAATTGTTATGGAAAAAATTCACATGTTTGTGTTAGTTATTTAAATAACTGCCTTTGCTTATTTATCTTTGTTCTTCCCCTCCCCCCCTCTTTTTGTTTAATAATGTCAGAAATAAAGTAACATAACCTACAGACAACAAGAGACCCTTCAAGCTGTCCATGCACACCCACCCTTGAGAAAAAATAAGTAAAAGCTTAACCCATATCACACCATTTAGTTTTCAGGAAATCATTGATTCTCCTCTTAAACTCCAGTGAAGTGCTGGCCACCACTACTTCCAATGAAAACTTATTTCGTAAGTCAGTTACCCTATTATAAAAATAAAATTTTCTAAACTTGTTTTTCTAAATCTTAAATTTAAGTCCTCTTGTCATATTATCTTTAGAATAAAGCAGAAAGAAATCAGAGGTCTTTATCATATCAATCCCCCCAGGATAATCTTGTAAACTTCAGTAAGATTTTAGTGTTTTAAGGTAAAAGTGGGTTAACCTTAAAACAATGAAATGGTTATACTTAATAACAGAAGGTTCAACAAGATATAATTATGAAGTAATGCTGAGTTTCAAAAGGAAAGATAATGTAGTGTATACATTTTACTTTTTACCTTACACTACCACCCAATAGTTGAGTAAGCAAAAAACACCTTTTCCTTTCTATCATCGGTTTCTTGACCAAATGACTGTCCTAGCTCTAAAATTACGGCTAATTCCAGCCATATCAATTGGAAGGACTGAAGCAAAGGCTCATTTTATTGTTCAGAGCTGTCTCTCCCCCTCTAAACCCAGTGCTACCTCATCTGGCTTACCATGAACAGCCAAACAAGTACTCTCAGCTCTTTCCTCCTTACCAGATGTTGATTGAGTCAAGCACTAAACAATAAATATTCAGCATAGGGCATTGCACTGACTATATTCATTCCAGACAGTGGCCTGTCTAACATGGTTAAGGAAGAGTTCCAAATTTTCCTGAGATGTAACTTAAGTGTCAGAGAAAAAATCTGACTAGGTTTACTCACAGGGACCTGTCTTTCTCATAAGAACAAAGGTTGAGACATCCTAAATGTCAACAGCACAATGTGGTAGGCATACTCAGGGTGGCGATTTGATGTGGCATGCTCAGCAGCTCGAGCATTTACTCTGCACAAACCCTTACTTCATTGTGACTCATCACTGTTTTGGTAGTAATACTTACCTACTTGGAAAGGCTCATCACTACCCCATGGCCCAGTTACTTCACTATCTGGTGTCCACTATCTCACCAATGGCACCCCCAGTTTATATTGGTCAGTTTCTGGTGACTTTGATTAGAGCTGGGGTTGGGTTACTCTGACTAGCAAGTGCCTATGAGTCCTATACAGAATGCCCTATTCAATTTCAGACTTGCCAGACACCACTCCACTTCAATGATCCTCAATATCTATGCTTCCCTTATAATGGGTTCAATTCATAGGGGAACAATTCTATTAGCCATTCTTGAAGTATTAGATTCTGGCAGTTCTCCTTCCCAAGTCTTCAGTAGCTATGAGAAAGATGTCATAGAGTTTTGCAGCATAAGCAAAATTCCAATGTTAAGGAGAGGATAAAAATGTTTAATAAAAACTGGTTAAAATTACACTTAAAAGATAATTTTTTGGAGAGAATTAATATTAAAAAAAAAGGCTTAAACTTCAGTTACCAAACTGAGAGCTTGAGTTTAAGAGACCTAACTCAGGGACCATGGTAATACATACTCATTATTGGTAATGTATTTTCAGGATGCATGCATCACCTACACTACTGTTGGTTAATTCCATTAAAAAACAAGAAAAGTTGTGATCTCCAGATATCACCTGACCTACCACTGGATAACATGCATCATTACAGTAATACCACCCATAGGCAATTATATTAATAAGCATTATCAACAGAAAATGACAAAGGAACAATGTCCCCTTTGGTGTATCTATGTTGGCTTTCATTGTCATATTTCACTAAATATAATTTTTTAAGTTTCTTTCATCAAATTCTCTAGACCTTTCTGCATTACAAAATTAAGATTAATTTTAATACTCAGAGTAATATAAGCAACTGTCCAATCCTTGAGTATTTGCTTGTTTCAACTGACATACTAAAAGTAGTAAAAATGAGAGACATACTCACAATGGTTACATATTTGAAATTTGGAGAAAAGTTTGAGTGATCCTTGTACTTTATCTACTTTTACTCTCCAAATCTTTCCTCTTAATCTTATCATGAATGAATTAATATCTACATGAATCAGGCAAATTTGATTATTTCTATAGAAGACTCTGGGTCAGGAATACTGCTAATATCATTTCTTGTAAAAACAGAAGAGAATACTTAAAAACTCAGCCACTGCTTAATCTTCAACAATATGTTAATAACGGTGTCATATATAACTTTTAATTTTAAGGGCCCAAAACCCATTCTAATATTTTTAGCATTTTGCTTACCTTTAGAAAACTTAAAATTATAGTTCTAACATTATAAGCTAGGTGTTTCTCATAAGCCCATTACGTAATCCTCTTTTTTAAAAACTAAATCTCCCACTTTGGACTTGGTATGTTTCTGTAAATGTAAATCTTGACTTAAAGTTAAGAGTTTTGATCTTCCCCGTATTATCTCATTATATTTTAATTAATAACATATCTAAGTGCTTTGAATTACATTATTTAAAATTAGTCCAGTCTTCTTTAACTTATAAAATTAAAAATTTTGAATCTAAATTATTAAGCTAAGATAGTCCAATACAATCACCAATTAGAAACAATAAAATTTATTATTAATATTATATTAATTTTTATTAGTTATGCTTAGTTTTAACTCACTTTTACCTTAGTTTAACTATAATTTATAAAGTTTTAAGTTTATTAAAATATTTAGTAGTAGCAGTAGTAGTATTTATAAAAATGGGGATTTTTAAAATTTTTTTCAAGTTTAAATCTTAATATAATTAAATATGACGTTAGTCTTATGTGTTTTCTTCTTTCTTTCTTTTTTTTTTTTAATTAGACAACTAAGTCTGCATCATATGTAATGCATATATAACTGCCGCATGTTACTCACGTGCTTTCACCCACCAGCTTACGCCAAGAACACCTTGGTATCAACGTACTTTACAATCCTATGTTTTTCTATATGCAATACAACCGATCACTGGTTCTAGTAAACTCATAATTTTAGTGGTAGATCACTGGGGTGGAGGTGGGGAGATAAGAAAGAATTATAATTAAAAAATATATGAAACAAGAAAATGGTATATAATTTTATTTATTACGATTAACAGTAATTATAATTATTTTTCTATTCCGTTTTATTTTAATCATGGATTCATTTCTGAATTCCTGGAAAATTTTATGCTGTTATCACAGTTGAAATAGTGATATATTTCACGTTTTCCTAACTAGAAAATTATGTAACTTTGTTCCGATTTAATCTGCTTAAAATTCTGAAAATTTCTGTTTCCCAGTGGAACGCCCCCAGTGGCACAGCGGTATGTCTGCAGACTTACAACGCAAGAAACCGGGTTTCGATACCTGTAGTGGGAAGAACACAGATAGCCCATTGTGTAGCTTTGTGATTAACTTCAAGCAAATAAACAAACCCAGTGGAACAGCCGTAAATTTACGGACTTGCAATGCAAAAGTCCATGGTTTGATTCCCTGCAGTAGACACAAAAAATAGCCCAATGTGGCTTTGTTCTACACGAAACAAACAAATCAAAATTTCTATGCTTGATGTAATGCATTTAGTTGGCGTATTTGTTAACAGGATGTGAAACGTGTAAATTTGCTACAACACTCCCTTGCAGTTTGATGTCCAACTCAAATTAGTATGAACAGGTGTGTGGGTGGGGTCTCTCTCTTGAATATGTATAATAGGAATAATCGTTCAAGTTGGATATAGCGCGATTATTAGCTTCAATTTTTTAAGTCTTTAGTTCCTATTCTAGCAACAAAACTTAAACTTAAAAACCAGTCAACCACTTGAATTAATAAAACTTCAAATGCAATGTTATTTGTGTTAGTAAGTGTGGCGAATAATTTTTATTTATTATTATTATTTGCTTTTATTGACCACTTTTATGCTTGAGTTTCGTTTGCTTTTCATGTTTGATTTATTCTGAATATTGTTACGTCTCCGTTTGTTAATTAACTTTCCGTAACTTCGTTCCGACGAAACTTTAGCGACACAAGTCCTT